AGGATTGTCAATACTTCCTCTGTAAGCCTAAACTATTTCCATAAAAAAACTGATTCTATTCTGTACTTTCTGCAGGTCAATATACAAGTGACAGTGCAGATGTGCATCTTGCCCCACCTCCAGACAATAAATCACCAAATCCACTTCCAACAAATGAGCAACAGAGCATCCCTAGGACACCTTCGGTTGCTCCAGCTGTTGCTGGAAGGACTTCCTCTGAATCATCCGCGGCTTCCCTGCTCATTCCATTCCTCCATTTAATGATCCCATTGCTATTGCTACTCGTTAAATGTATGTTTATCTCAACTCTCTAATCATTTTGCTTATCCTTCCTGTCTCACTTGTATATTCTGTCTATCCTTTTCAAGCTCTCCCACCTTCAAAGGAATTTCATTTTTTCTCCTGGTCACTGTATAGGTGATGGTTGGTGGGAAAGACTCATTTTGATTTAGTGATCTATGTTTTGTTCTGCCCATTTTCTTGTGCATTTATCTTTTAGTGCTGATTCTACGTATAGTTACTTGTATTTTCCTAAAATTCCCTTGGTCCAGGTATTGTTAAGGTATTACCGAGAGCGCAGACATTCTGTATGCTTATGAAATAAAACCTGATAGAGCTTATGCTAATGATCCTGGTTAATCTATGGTGATCCAGTGACCTAATGATTCCCTTGGTCCAGGTATTGTTAAGGTATCACCGAGAGCGCAGACATGCTGTATGCTTATGAAATAAAACCTGATAGGGCTTATGCTAATGATCCTGGTTAATCCATGGTGATCCAGTGACCTAATTAACCTAGTGATTGGGTCCGCCACTTTTTCCCGTGGAAGGATGGAGACATTTCATCATTGTATATGTGATTGTGTTATTCAACAGGTAGTTTGACTAAAGACATCAACTGATAGTTTCACGATCCGGCTTTAGGTGGAATATGATATGATTTTTGTTGCTGGTATTAGTAATGTAGGCTAATATCTTTAAATACTCGGCCAATTCTTTGTTGTTAATTAAAAAGGATAAGTAGGGTGATGTTAACATATGAACCTGGTGGATAAACGGAGTAAACAACAAGGCTTAAATCAATCGAATATGTTTAATACATGAAAGAAACGATTCATAATTTGGTCAACTAAATACCATAATTATTTTTAGTTATTGTTCGACATGGAATTCTTCATCAGAAAGTAGGGAAGTAAGCTGGGCCGGGTTTGAGCAGTTAATGTTTGTGGAAACGGCCTAAAGAAAGTACTGAACGAATGGCGATGATTCTCAATCATGTTTGTATATATCCTTGTGCTTTTCCAGTATTTGCTTTGAGCACAAGTAGATTGCTGCTTAAAGTTCACGCTCGTGAACAATAATCGACTTCCTTGTTGTTTAGGATTTCGTATTTACTTTCCGAGAGGTAAAGTTCTTCCACTTCGAACCCTTCACCTTATTCCTTACCTAAAAAAACCATTTTACTGTCGCCTGGTGTTTGATCACATTTGACACAAATTGGGTTGGCATTTCACTCCCATTCCAAGTTCGTATAAGAGACCATCTTGCACGGGTTATTGGGCAAAACAAATATAATTGATTTACTTTCAGCCTTGTAATCTTGTCTGTGACAGGACTTCAATGGTTCATGTTTATCTTGGACAAGGGGCCTTCAGGAGACGAAATTATTTCGCCCGCCGCACTGTTCTTTATTAACACCACCAAAAGACGTGGAGGATTCGTTGCGTGATATTATAATGATATGTTCTAACAAAACATTGCGGATTCACTAGTTTTTTTTTTCCGTCCCATTATATATTTTGATTTTTTTTTATAGGACCAAATTGAAAACTAATTTAAATAAATGTGTTAGAAAATAATAATATTGAAAGAAAAGAAATCAAAGGAGAGGAAATGAATATCTTTTTTTAACTTTGAGTAAAATGGCCATTGTGAACTTATACTTTTCAATTTTCAAAGTTTTTTTTTTAAACATTAATTTTAGTTTGAATTTTTATTTTTTTATTTTTAAGTTCATGAATGGAAAGAAGAGAATAAACTGGATTTTAGTAGTATAGAGAAAATCAGCTTTGGTATTAATTTTGCTCATCAAAATAATTAATTTTGATGCTAATAATTAATTATGCTAATATGTTCCATTTAGTGAGGAGAGTTCTACTTAAGTTTTTTTCACATTTAAATTGTCTAAAAAACTAAATCTAAGCTTGGAAATACTTTTGGTTTTAGATTAATTTTGGGTTTTTATTTAGTTGTTTAGATTTGTTAAGGTCATTAATGGGTTTGTCTAGATTGTTTTTTTAGTTTGTTTTGGTTAAAAAAAATGGGTATGAACAATGAATCCCCCCTCCTCCCCAACTCAATTCAACCCCCGCTTTTTTCTTTTTCATTTTTCATTTCAGTTTTATCATTTTAATTTTTAATTTCATCCTTAATTTTTTTTTTAACAATTGTCCAGGATGATTTTAAACTAGCCAAGTCAATTGGATCGTCAAGACAATTTTTACATAATTTAATTTTAAACTCAAATTAGAGAACGAATCGAGGTGATAGGTTAAATTTTTTATCAATCTCACCCTTCTTTATTTCTTAATTTTATCCTTATATTTTTTATATTGGTCAGTTGAGTTTCCTCTAAATTAGTCAAGTCTACGGAGTAACTCTTACTTAATTTAATTATAAACTCGAGTTACATAAAAAATTAGGGTAAGATTTTCTCCTTTCCTACTCATGATCACTCATGATCGATGGCTTTTACAAAAAAAATTGGTTCAAGTTTTAAATATAAAGTTAAGAATTTAGAATTCTAGACATTTTTTTTTATCGTATTAATAGGGTATTAATTTTGTAATTGTAAAGTTAATCAAGTTTGCTATTTGATGAAAAGGCTAAGATTATAATTGTAGAAGTAATTTTTAAACTTGAAATTACTAAATTATTTTATATAAGAAATATTATATTTTGATTTTATTATACATTATCTTTATCTTTATGAAGATAATAAATTGATAAATATTAAATATAACATAAATTATATAAAAATACTTAAATAATTTAGAAAGAATTAATTACTCTAGATAAATTTAGAAAAAATACTAGGTGATGGAATGTGTTATTATTTTAATAATAATAATAAGAGTTTATCCATAAAATGCAACGTTTTCTTGAAGAGAAGTCGACGCAATTTATCTATACTTTCCGAGATTTATCATTTAGCAAACTTGATTAACATTATATCTAAAACTAATATCTAAAACCTTATTAATTGTGATTAGTTTTTATAAAATGCAACGAATTCTGCCTTTTCTCCTTTCCCACTCATTCCTCTGCTCCACACAACCTTAATCCAGGAGAAACGTACGGTTGCAATACTGTTGTTGTGATCAATTAAGGACTTTGGACTTTTTATCTTGAAGGAACACAGGAAGTATCTGATACAACTCCCGATGAACAGATGAAAATTGTCTTAGCTCCACTCTCGATGCATAATTTGTCCCCAGAGCACTCCCTGCAAATGGCTGCGGATCGTCTGGCAGCTCCTGCCCCTTCATTACTAGTCAAGCCCTGATTAGCTTTCCTGTTACTTAATTTCATTTGAAATGATTCATGCTGATAACGGTTTTTTTTTTTTTTGTTTTTTTTCTCCGAGCAAGAATATTACTTGATACTGTATTAATGATTATTTTTTAAAATATATTTTTTATTTTTTAAAACTTATATTTGATATTATTTATAAAAAAACACATCCACAAGCGTCGCCGCAAAAACATTTAATGGTCTTTATAACTAACCCTATCATGCTGTTAGGGAGAAAAAGGGAAACTGAATAATTTGCCATATCAAAACCTTAAGAATAATTAAAAAAAAAACTTCATTTTCATGGAAGTAGAGTCATGGAGTGAAATGTGAAAACTTTTAGGAAGAAAAAAGAAGAAATAAAGATGGTGCCATCTGTCTCCGCAGGGGAATTTCTTTATTCTTTTGTCTCCTTCCCCACCCCCGCCCCCCCCCGGGGGCCCCACCGCCCACTTACAGATCAATTCTCCAATCAATCAAGCAATTCAGTAGGGGACAGTAACCAGCAAACAACACTCCTTTCAAACAGGCTCGTCCAAGCTACCATATCCTCTATGTTTGTATTTTTGCCTCACGTGGAACCCTACTTAGCCAATAGATTCCCACCTGGACACGTATCGCACGGAACGTGGCATCTGATGGTGCCGTGCAATACTATACGACCCCATTGTTAAATGCATGCGTATTCAGAGTCTTTTCCTTGAAATTTGAATGCATGTCTTCGTATTGATCGGCTTTTCGTAGTACTGTTGCTTTATCTCTCGTGGACCCGAGGAGACGAACTCCGGACCCAAGCATGCATACAAAGATTTGGATTTTGGAGACTCACCCAAAGCCAGCCATCCACTCCTCCTCCCTTTGATGCCGCCTGTGATGAAGAAGAAGCTTTTATCATGGCGCTGGTTTAATTTTATGAGATATCCATGCCTATCTACTTGTTTTGTATATATTCATTGTATATATACTCTTAATTATACTTTATGAGGGTATTTTTTAATGAGATTCATCAATTATTCTCTTAAATAAAGATATAATTGTCCAAGAGTAAACAATTAGTTATCGAAGATCGCTTAATTCACTTGCGGATTGAGACAACAACTGCCAAAAATATCAAGCAACTTTAAATATAAATAAAAGAGGTTAACTTGTCAAATTGAAGGAGTAATAAATGAGTAGCCTTCTTCAAAATCTTCTTCCGTAATTACGTGTCTTAACTTTAATAAGAAGAGAATCCACACGGTCTAGCTTGGGAGGAAGTTTCTTGCAGGTTCTAGTGTAGAACCCACAGTTTGTGTTTTTGCCTAGATTTTTTTTCTTATTTTTTATATTTTTTCTTTTGGACCTATGTATCAGCTGGTTACTACATGTATAATATATAGAGCACTATCCTCTCGTCAATACTTATCATCATCCTTTCTCCACCCCTTGCACTTTGTGTCATGCATTTCTCTTGATACACAATATTTGAAACGAATTAAAATCAGATATATCAACCATTAATTGCATTATTTTCTAGAGTGAGAAAAAGAAACACAGAATGGGAGTTGCAGGAACTTTGGAGTATTTCTCTGATTTACTGAGCAATGTCAAGAGAAGAAAGAAAAAGAAGCAGATGCAAACGGTAGCTCTCAAAGTCAGGATGGACTGCGAGGGCTGTGAACGTAAGGTCAAGAGTGTCCTCTTCGGAGTTAAGGGTGGGTAGTTATCTGTGCACGGATTGATCTTGTCTTCTCTCTAGCTACATATGTACATTCATCTTCTTGTAACCTTTTCTGTATGTTAATTCTCTGCGTTCTTTTCGTGGGACTAAATAAATTGAGCTTCCTACAAAAATATGTCCTTCTTTCAGGTGTTAAATCTGTGGACGTAGACATGAAGCAACAAAAGGTGACTGTGACTGGGAACGTAGAGCCGAAGAAAGTGTTGAAGGCAGCTCAATCAACAAAGAAGAAGGTAGAGATGTGGCCTTATGTGCCATACACTTTAGTGGCACACCCCTACGTTTCACAGGCTTATGACAAGAAAGCACCTCCGAATCATGTTAGAGCAATTCCGGTCACAGCCACTATCAGCGAGACCACCATGGACGATAACTACACCAACATGTTTAGCGATGAGAACCCCAATGCCTGCTCCATCATGTAAGATTATATGGAGTACTGTAGAATAAAATGTAAAGTTAAGGGTAATTAAATTAATCTGGTTATTTGGTGTTAATCTTGTTTACTAAACTCTTAAAATTTTCTTTCGAGTATTTGTTGTGGATACGTGGAGGTAGACATGGCCAATATAGTAGATTAAAGAGTGTGGATCCATGGTTATGCTACAGCTACTTCTGTATAGTTTATGTAGTGGTGTTTTTTTTCCCCTTCCTTCTTTGCTGTGATTGACATTTCCATGATGCTAAGGCACTTCTTTTACGTTTATGGGCAGATGTATCGGCCTTTCTGGTCGCCATAGACTATATATAAATAACTTCTTCCTCCTTAATTAATTACAATACGGGTTCACTTGATGGATTAACTCAGGAGCGTCAGAGAAAAGAAACGAGACTGCTGGCTGCTGCAACTCTTTGTCTAATTTGGTTTATCCACAAAAGTGACAAAAATGTTTAGTGAAGATTTTAAAAATTAGGTGGTTAATTTTGAGAGTGGAATATGATTTGTTTTTAAATAAACAAGTTAAAAATACATTAGCTTTCACTTTAAAATCATGGAATATGATGCATTTTGAGATGAAAAGGTAACAAAAACAATCTTAAATATTTTAAAATTAATTACCAATCTCAATCTTTTTTCTTTTACATATAATTATTAACCTTAAATATCTGTAAATGAAATAAATTTAACTATCTTTTTTTTAAAGATCATTTTCAAGCAATTCATTTAGTTTTTTTTTTTTGTTTTTTTTTAATTTAAGTTATGTTTTTAATGATAATTTTAATTCAAAGATCACGATGGTAAATTGCTTAACAATTAAAGCAATTTCAATCCTGACACTATCACAATAATTTTGACACAAATAGCTTGATGAGTCTAATCTTACAACATGACAGACAGAACACATCACATCAAACACAACAAGGCCAGAACACATTATTAAATTTGTGGCTTCTTGGTGCAGCAAGGATTCAATATCAATGGAAGTGTCTTGCATGAGTGTCCCATCTGAGTTGGTATGTTGAAAGAGAAGATGAAATTAGGGAACTTCAGGCATTTTTTATTTTTATTTTATCATTACTCAATGCGATTAGCCAATTTTTCTACTTTACAAAGCATCTCACCGACAAAAAAAGAACTAATTCTGAACCGACCATTTGATTCTGCATGCAGATGCAGGTCTAACACATCCCCTTGATCTTTTGCCAATGTTGTTGGATTGATTTCACCGACTCATTCAACTAAACATATATATTCTTACAAAGGAATCATTTTATACTGATATAGTTTCTACACACTTGATTATGGAGGATAAATTGCATATTATTCTGCAGAAGGAAAGTTAATACATTCGATATGGACCAAAAGTCCAATTGGTTGGTATAGTGGAACTCTAAATCCTCTGGCGCTGGAGCAAAAGATGATCCAAACTATGCCAGTTACCAATTTAGGGGTTCGGACAGGAGTGCCCTAGCAGGTTTATCAACTTACACAAAACAAAAGGCTAGCAGCCCCAAGATCATATGCTGACCCCAACAACCGAGACATGGATGATAAAGCTGCAGAAGAGTGCGGGCGCCGCAGTTGAGCTATCATATCATAAGATATTGAGTCCACATATATGGATTGTTTCAGTTGATAATTTAGTGAATCCTGAGAAACTTGTTCTGGTATATTCACGTCGCACTTTGTTATCAGGCGAGCACGTTTCTGCTCTCCTGGGAAAGGAACACAAATCAAACAACGCAGACAGATAAAGCCATAACTTGGCCTTATTCGGCGTTGGAACTTGGCAACTAAAATCCCAAATGGGACGTCCAGTTTAATAAGCAACTACGTGCTTAGCATATATTATGATTTTTTGGCAACTTTGGTATTTACTCGTCTTGCTGTCTCATCATGAGATGCAATAATGAGTTAATTGACGGTTTGGTTTAGAGAACAATATTTAGCTCTTAAACTACTGGTAATCAGGGTAAAGGGGAGCATTTTAAGGCTTTATATCGAATACCGACAAAACCAAATCTTGATTGCAACCACCAGAATAGCAAGGCGCCTATGCTAGCTAGAGACAACTGAACCAAATCAACCACTAAATCTTCGCAGTTCTATGACCCCTTCTTTTACAGAAACCTCAATCTCCGTCCATTTTATGACCTTCTACCTCTCTCTCACGCGCACAGGTAAATAACATCCCTTGTTTGATTTTAAGGCTCTCCTTGTCCGTGCATATATATATAGAGTCATGCACAACTCTCTTAAAGCGATTCGAAGAAGATTCAGCATTCTTTTTTTTGCGACTTTGTGTGCATAAATGAGACAGATCAAGAAATGGGTCGTGTTAAGCTGGAGATCAAGAGAATAGAAAACAACACCAATCGACAGGTTACGTTTTCAAAACGAAGGAATGGACTCATTAAGAAAGCATATGAGCTTTCCGTCCTTTGTGACATTGATATTGCCCTTATCATGTTCTCTCCCTCTGGCCGTCTTAGTCACTTTTCTGGCAAAAAGAGGTGATGCATCCCATGCCTTTTCATCATTTCCTTAGGCAGATAACTCCAAGTCCTTTGCTTTTGTTATTAGCCCCTTTCATTCATACTAATCGTGATTTTGTTACATTTCTTGATTGCCTAGCTCATCATAGCTTGTCATAAAATTGCCAATGCTCTTAGCATATATTTTGATTATATAAGGCATTTCTATAAACAGGTGATTGTCCAGAATCGGTTTTAATTATGTCAAAAGGCCAGGAACTATTATCAGATTATCCCTATCAATATTGGTTTATTTAACGTGATCAATCCTAGCTAGCTCATGCAATTTTCTCTTAGCTTGAGAAATCCCAAGTACACTGGTGACACATTTCAGAAAAAACTCAAGCTTGGTAAAATTGTTGTGATTATTAACAGTAACGACAATTGTAAAAGTGAATAACCTAATTAAGGATTAATGACGATCTCTGGGTAGACTTGTAAACAATATTCTGGGCCCTGCATAATGGGTGCGGAATTGATGGTCCGCTGCTGCTCTGCTTGAAGCATGCAGGAATTCGATTTTTGGAACTATGCAAGTTAAGTAGAGTACCATTTCACCCCTATCGATTCATTAATATTCCACTTTTCTCCTCGTAGTTATTTATGTTCTAATATTACCCCTATGGTTTCAAGATTTTTTCAGTGTTTTCGATATTCCACCATTAAATCGCTAGCAAAAAATGTAATAAAACTCACTTTTACCTTCTTCTTTTTTTGTAATCATATACTTTTGCATGTATTCATGTCCATCTGTAGTTCTACTCCACGAGTTTCATTTTCTTCTTTGAACCATCTTTTTCGTTGCTGTAATTTTATTTGCCATGTTGGATAATCAGGATCGAGGACGTGCTAGCTCGTTTCGTTAATCTTCCTGACCAAGAAAGAGAGCTGTACGATTTTATAAAAAGAGATTATGTACTAAATGTATTGTTTTTCTTTCTTAATAGTTACTAAGTCTAACATAAATGTCACAGTATTCTTTTTTCGCTTTGCAGTGCTAGAGTTATTCCTGAACAAGGCCAGCATCATCGGTATGCTTAGCCAGGCCGAGTCTCTTTGTTTTATCTCTTTTCTTTTTTGTTTGTATGGTTAATACTGCCTGATTTAATTTTTTTTCAGTTTCTCTTGTTGCAGTGATATTCAGAACAAAGAGGTAATTGATTAATTATAAATTTCTTAGTTAACATTCTATTGCCATTTTTTTCTTGTTTGTGTTTTGTGCACTCAAGTCCCATCCAAAAAGGGAAAAGAAAAACTTATGAACAGGGAAGAGGGGGAATCTCAGATTTATTGTAAGGAGATTTTGAGTATTTTCAATTAAGTTATGCATTATCCGGTGCAGTATGTGTTTAGGACGCTACAACAGCTTAGGGACGAGAGTGATATCGCCCTTCAACTTTCCAAGTTTGTCTACTCATATCTTCCTTTCTCTGTATAATCTATCTCTCTGCTTTTTTTAATTTTTCATGATTTGTTTGTGACAACTTACTCTTTTTTCTTCTTCTTCTTCTAATGTTCCTAAACGATGCACTTCCATTCCTTGGAAAGCCCAACAGCAATTAACTCGGAGGTTGAGGTAAGGAATACCCTTTTTATCAGTCAACATTTTTTTAATGTTGCTTCTCAACTTAATGATTTTCACTGCAGGAACTCCAGCATGAAATTGCAAGGTTGCTGCCGCGACTTCAACTAGCAGAGGAACAGATAAGGTTAGGATCAATTATAGAAAAACAATATATATAAAAAAAAAAACAAGAAGAAGAAGGGTACTTAGTTCTCCGTTCTTATTCTTGCCTTCTTTTGTTCTAAACTTACCTGCAAGTGAACTTTACTGGTCCTAAAACCGTAGGATATATGAGCCAGACCCGATAAAATTCACGTCCATGGGGGAGCTAGAATCATGCGACAAACGTCTTGTTGACACTCTATCACGTGTCATGCAAAGAAAGGTTGGAAGAACTAATTTATACTTATTTGTTAATTACGCTTTTAATTTTTAATTTTCAAAATGAGTCTGGTTTGTGGTGTTACAGGAATATCTCCTGAGCAACCGTCTATCTTCATTTAATCCATCAAGAATAAAGGTAATTTACTAAATTATAATTAGATATTCTAAGTAACTAAAATGTAAGCATGGAAGAGATTTTACGAGTGAAATATTGAACTCAAACACATGGATCGATTCACAGCATGGGATGCCAACCAGCTCTTTCAATAACGATACGGTAAACTGGTTGCCTGATGTTGGTAGCGACCATGCCGAAATCTTTCACCATGGAACTGACAACCACGCCCAAATCTTCAATGCTTCTACTCCCCTGAACGCTTTAAGGTTTTAATTCCGCACTTCATTATTTCCTTGAATTAGTGCAAATAACTAAGATATTGTTCTAGATGGGCTAGACTGTAGTTGAAAACTATTTACTTCCTCGTTTATACTATTAATAAGTTTGTTTTAAAATTAACTTTCCCAAGGTCAACAAAATTAAGCCAGAGATTCTTCTACCGTGTGCAGGAGTCTTTCATCCACAATGTATGATTCATTGTTGCAAGGAAGTCACTCAAATGCAGAGGCACAAAACTTCAGGGAGTGGCCTGGTGATGGAAACTTTCCACAGTGGCCACCATATAATTCAACGGTGCTCCACTCCAACCCCATGTCACCTTCCTTATACTCTCAAATTCAGGTTCTTTTCTAATATCGATTGCTAGGTTCAAAAGAAAATAGTAGTATATATCCAGTTTATAATTATGGACCTGGCATCATCAACTGTTTTTTTTTCCCCAATATCACTGTCTTTTCGCTTCTCTCATTTTTTAGAAACACAAGTGAAAACATTGATGCAAAAACCAGATTAAAGAGAGTTTTATTCTTCTTCTTCTAAGAATTCTGGAAAACATTGCAATTGATAATGGAAAAAATGATGATGCAACCAGCATGAAATGGTGGGACCAAATATTCCAGATATGATGCCACGTGAGCAGGTGGAGATCCCAATCAGCAGCCCCCATCTACAGGTGGAAAATGATGGCGCAAGCTATGAGCACAACAGAGTACCTCGACTTGATGATCAAGAGCACCAGACAATCTTTGAATTGTAAGGTTAATTTCAAAGACTTTTAACGCAAGGAAATACATGTAAAGCAAGCAGTGCTATCAATGTTTGCCAAAGGTCGTGGATTCTGCATACAGTTTGTTTTATATCTAAACTAGTGTTGTGACTTGCATAGTTATCGACCTTGTCCTCTTTGTAGTTTGTGTAGTTCGTGTGTAATAGAAATCGATTCGGTTTCTGTTCAATAATGGAATATTAACTGCTAGCTGTATATCAATTTGCGTTTCTGACAGTTTCTATTTCATCACGTAAGTGTTGTATAATTTCTGTGACTCTAAAGTCTAATGGCTAAAAAGAAAATGAAGAGGCACACGTATGATTCTATCGTGCGTTCTCAAGACCAGCAAATTCAATTTAACATCTTTTTTTCTTCCAAAGTAATTCGCACTTCATCATCATCATCATCAAGTGGAAATCATTTTTTTCCCTCGTACTGTTGTTGATTTCAACAAATGGCTTGTAATATAGTGATGAAGTACTTAATATTATTGTTTTCTAAAGCAACAAATGGCTTGTAATATAGGATTGAACGAACAAGTTATTTTTTTTAAAAAGAACTTTTCGCAACCATACCTCCATGAAAAATGTAACTCCAAGTGGACTCACAGGATTACATTTATGCTAAATATTTCAATTTCTCACGAGGCTTTTTTTTTTACTCCATGCAAAAGAGCTTATTCGGTTAAGCAGGAGGCCGCCAAACTCCGCATCAACAGTTTGCGAGGGCAGTTAATTTAGAGCTAACACATGCATCTACGGCTTCACTGACGGTGAGGAAAATCCACCCTCTTCCG